ATATGTACTGCAGTCAAAATCAAAATCGGTATTTCCACACCTTATATGCAAATGAGGTCGGAGAGCAAATAAAGTAGTCATTTCAGGAGTACCGTTTTTCGAAACATAGCAGAAATAAACAATATTCAGAAGTGCGATATTTTTCCCTTGGGGTACATGAATATACTTGCCGAGTGAAATGAAATTTGAACAACAGTAATGGTAATTTTAGTCAGTCACTTATTTTGACTAAAACTAATTTGCGTATCATCCATGCAATGATGTTTTTGGGTATTTTCACGGTCAAAATGCAAATGAACATGACATTTTCCTTGTAGAAACATTTTCGTCTGCTATTTTTGTCCGGTTCAAATAGCTCATTTTTGGCATGTTAGGTGTACATCACATACTACGTTTGGGAGAATCTAATGTATGTTGACCACATGCACACTGAGTTCTATAAACTTTGAAGGCCCTCGGAAGATCCACCCACAGCCGGGACCCGCAGTGAAATCAGTAATTACTACGGATCCGCAAACATCAACATCAATATATCAGAAGGTTTCTGCTGGCGACGTTGCGGCGTTACTCAGTTCCAAATAAAGATTACCAACGCCAAATGAGCAACATTTAACCGGTAACCAAGACTCAGTCAATCCACGATCAGCAAGCAACATCACAAACGAATTTGTAGTGTGCAGCTCAGCGTCGACCGATGTCGACGAGTTATCCCGTCAGTGGAGTACCGCATTCTGTGGAGGTACTTTTAACTTCAACATAAACTGTGTATCATAGTCGTCCAGTTCAATTTTTGGTCCTGTCGTGGCCCCAACTAAACGTCCACGAGATATTTATTCGGACAGTGGCTCAGATTAGACGTTTGATTATTTTATTTCCACACAGTGACACGCGTGCTACACTAACACGCGTTGCTATGGCGTAACACTATCTTGGAACATATTCGCTCGTGAAAGTACGGCCACAGGATACACCGCATCACTCGTGAAAATAACTTCCATACGCAACGAAAGCCACGGGCAGGGTGTGGGGTTCGGTTATTTTATTACATTATGTAACCATTACATTTAGAACAGTAGACGAGATAGATTTCAACGAGATTTCAACGAGATCTCGCTGTGCATTGCGCCAAAGGTATATTGTTCAATAAGAGTAAATTGGGACCTATTTGTATATATTTATATTTAAGCGCTGCCATTGTAAGCATAATTTGCATTGTTTATGTCGCGTGCAACGCGTTTGAAACACAGCGCGATAACTGTTAGAAAGTAAGTTACATTCTCATGCGTCGCATGTTTACGCGTCTTGAGTTAAAAAAACAACATATACCTGTCAAGCCAATGTTCGCCGAACTTGTTCATTTCCTCCGTCGACGAAGTCTCGTCGAGCCACACCTCTTTTCCATCATCGCCTGTATAATGTAAGTCGTCACTCATAACCCCATTGTTATTCCCAATAAGACCGGATATATCCGTTAAATCTGTCTCTACAATCACGTGTCCCAAGAGCCCGTTCCAAATAACAGAAAATTCACCGGGACCGAAGTAAAGCGTGACAAAATCTTTATTCTTGTTATTCCACTTAATTTCAATTCCGCCATTTCCGAACGTTGTTGCGTTGGTGCTTATAAATTCGGTGACGTTAGAGCCATCAACCTAAGAAAGTACATATATGATAAGTAGTTATAACTGTTGTGCCAGTTGCCACATCGTAAAATATTATCAATAGTTTGTGGGTATTCTCGGGGCGGACATCCGGGCTGTTTCGCCGCCTGGCAATCCATTACAGTGAAAAGAAAGGCCGAAATGTGTCAGAAAATGGTACATTGGAATAGTTGTTCAGACACCCCTGAATAGTGTAAAAAGATTACCCCCTCCATGTGAAACATATACAAATTCGGTCTCGCAATCCTGTAAGTAACATTGCTCTGTAATAACCGAAAAAAACTAGAAAGAACGCTCATCGACACGAGATACACTAAAAGGCACGCTGCACATAAATAATACGTACCCTCATACGATTTCCTTCTAGCAATTCTAACATAACGTCTTGATAGTAAATGTATGTTCGTGTGAGAATAGTGGCAGGTTGACCAAATTGTGTCGCTTCAGTGTGATGGCTAACGACCCTGAAGGGAGGCTCTTTTGTTCTCTGCATCAGTATGTAGTTACATGGCCTTCCTAAGAATTTGTACTGAAGACCATCCAACGTTGTTATCAGAGGATCTCCGAATTCGCCGGGACCTGTGGCAGTTGGTGTAATAGTATTCAATATATAATAGTCAATCACATTTTGTTCTGTTTTTTTTTTTTTTTTGTTTTTTTGCGAAACAGAAATGTAAACACATTTGTAAAACCTTGAAGAAGATACTGCTCCAAATCTACTAGATAGACATATAGATAAATCAATGAAGGAATGAATGTTCTAACTTACTTGCTTGCACATTCCCTGTGTATGTAATCAGTGGAAAAATTAATATCAGTATATATATAATAAATACAATAAAATACAGTAACAGCTAAATGATATTACATGATGGTAGGAGTACACTGTTCCAACATAGGCACGAATGTGCGACATATCAGAAATATTATCAGAATAAATTACACGAATATTTTGAACATTTTTACACGTGTACTGCGGTGTCATAGGGTACAAGCTTGTTAAATAATATTGATAATGACTGCAAACAAAATATGCAAAAATACTCCTTTCCAAAGTTGAGATTGTTTTGGGCATTTCAATGCGCAATTGGAATGCCAAGGTGGATTTGTTGAAGCGTCATTTGTATTGTTTAATGTTATGGTCTGTTTCAAGTCTCGGTTAATTTATATATTTTAAACTGGACGGCTAACCAGTAATAAAATGGAAGGCATATTTACATTCATTATCTAAATAAATCTCGCAAGATCATATGCTAAAACATGCATATAGATTGGCGCAGTGTACAATTCAACTTATGTATACTGTGACGATTTACTAATCTACGAACAAACAAAGAGATAAATGTGGATATGAAAAATAAACGAATGAGCTGCTCACCAGGGTGAAAAATCTTAATCAATATAAGTGTATATGTTGAACTTACCACTAATGGGGAAATCTGGAACTTCAATACCTGTTAATAAACACAGATAAATTTCAATATAAACTACAGTGAATGCCAGCAATATGTGTGAACTTAAAGCAACGTAATAACGAACATTATGAGTGGAAACAGTTGGGCTCAGTGACAAGCAGAACGATCATAACCGTGAATGGTAATTAACGAATAACAACAGATGAGACGCACCTCCATACGTTTCACCACTTAAAATAAATCCATCTGAAAAATTAATAATAAAATATTCATACGTGTATCAGTAAACCATCAATCAGCTGAATTCAACTTCGTAAATAAAACATTAAAGCATTACCTGGTGGGGGTTCGTCTCCGTCGTTAGGACCTGGAGAAAATATGAAAGATTGTCATGAGATATTTTATGAAGATTTCTTGAAATTTATACCAAGAAATTGCGCGGCTTTTCGTTTACATACCCAAATGGCTGGAGGTGTTCGTGTACTTAACGCATTCAGTGTACCTTACCTATAGCTTCTCGTTCTTCAGGTGGTGGCACATCTATAAAAAAAAATGCAAAGCAATTTTGAAATAGTTACAAAGAAACAAAAGAAAAAGGTTCAAAAGAACATTGAAATCTGATGCAAACCCACATAATAGTATTATTTAGTATATAATAACATTCACAGTGGCGTTTATCATCTGTAGAATCACAAAAAAATAAACCAAAGTTCAACTGTTTTCAGTAAAACAAAACTGTTGGCAGTTAATTCGATTCGTGTAATTGCACCCACCAATATACAAGTACATGTTCGAAGCTTCACAGCAACTCCTCTCAAATAGAGAGTGGGATAATCGTATTCTATATATAATTGTATAAATGTGATTATAACCAACTTGTGAGTTCATAGCAAATACTTGAATTGTAATATGAATACACACATATGCCTTCTCGGTCTAGAGGTATAGATTGAATGTACAAATAGTTATACAAAGGTGGACTATTTAAGCAGAAGACGTTTACTAAGTTACTGTAGAGCGCTAATCGCATGCAATAATTACCTTTTGCCTTCAGCCGTGGAACGTCAAGCTCTGTAAACCAATGCAAAGCAAACAAATATTATTCGACACAAAAAACCAGAGGTAGACATTCATTTAACGCAGAAAGTGAGTGAGCGAGCGTCCGAGTGAATGAGTGAGTGAGTGAGTGAGTGAGTGAGTGAGTGAGTGAGTGAGTGAGTGAGTGAGTGAGTGAGTGAGTGAGTGAGTGAGTGAGCGATCGAGCGTCCGAGTGAATGAGTGAGTGAGTGAGTGGGTTGGGTGTTGAGTAAGGGTGGGTGGGTGTGGGTGAATGGATGGATTAATGAATAATGACAAACAATATAGTGTATCAGAAAAACTGACCTCCATTTTCATCTTCTACTGGATCTGGTGCATACACTATAGTGGAAATAAAATACAGTGATTAATTGACAGACAATACACCAAACTTTAAGTACCCTGGTTAATGTATTTTAAAACCAATGATCCAATATTCCAAAATCGATAAGTTACTTAAAACAAATTGAACATATGGATTGTCTATTATCTGTATATCTTATGACTTCTTTTTGGTATTTGGTGAATTAAAAAAATATATCTTTCTACCAACCTCCAATACCTCTGACATCTGTGAAAAAAGGAAACGTTGTTACATAATTTACAAACCATACAACATTACAGTCATCGTTCAATAATAGTGACAACCTCTGGATTTACTCTACGTCTATATAATATACAATGCACGTCCACTGAGATATTTATATTAAGTGGTGGGAGGACAGTGAAAGATCTGAGCATGTTACTTGCCGATGTTAAAACCAATGAGCACTAGCATTGATTGTCATGTGACCTGTCAGTTCAGGGATCCGCTGTTTTGATTTGTGGTGACTGTTGGCCCATCTGGTACTGTGTCATACACAAACAGACGTGCCGTTGTAAGTTATTCATTTTCTTATTCAATTTATCAAGACATACTGTTGAATTAATTGGTACAGTATCGTTTGAGAAATTCAGTTTGATATTAGAAAGTATGGTGGCTCTTCAGGTTTTTCAGATCTTGTCTTGTTTAAATTTCTGCTCCGTGCGACTCACATCCCTTTCCTAAACAGTTCTCCGTCCGTAAAGGGTAATCATGAACTTTTGGCAGACGCACTTGCTCATAAAATGATTTGGCAAGTAAAGCCAAAATGTTAAAAGTTCAAGTTGTGCTGTTTTACACGAGATATTGTTGTTGCTGTTCTTTTTACATTCCATCTCCAACTGACTTACAAAAAGTAAACTTTCATACAATCACTTGCTTTGTTAGCGTTTTTTTTTCAAATTAAAATATTATTTGAATGTTTAAATAAATGAAGAAAGCCGGGCTATAACGAAAAGAGGGTTCTCGCAAAACAAACAAGAGACTTAATTTGGAAGTTGACGTTACATGACGTCACATATTTACATATCATACATAATTTACATACCACACGATTTGGTGTGCGGGCACGCGATTGCTGGGTTGCCGACTAAAACACAAGCCACACAACTGTCGTATCGCTAAGAACTAAGAAATACACCATACGCAACCGTATATTCACAGAGCATAGACAAGCTTATTTATAAAAAATATAAACCAAAAATTAGGACTTCGAGTTTCTACGAAGTTGTATCTATATCTAAACTGTATCCCATACTTACATGGAGGTTTGCAACAAAAGTATGTTTCGGGAAATCCACTACACAGTGTTGGATCATGTATCGAATTCATTGAATCGTCACATTCGACACTACAAAACGCACCAAATATGTTTTCACTGCACATATCTAGTTAAAAAAATGAATCAGAGTTTCGTTAGTCGTTTCACGAGCTGTGCCATACATTGGTGATTGATTGATGGATTTTACAGGCTTTACAGAGCTAATCTAAACTAGCAAATTCGTGGGTAATATTCATCAACAGTCTTTTCGGAATGACTAGTTTGTTTATTTTATCGGCAATTGTCAGCATCATATGACATACTTCAAATTAGTTATAAATTGTATTCCCACTTTTTATGGTTTGCATAAAACCTTTAAAACCTTGACTCATGTAAACATTCTAACGCTTTGGAATTTGCACAGTTTAGTCTTGAACATTTCCCGAAATCGAAATTATAAGAATCATTTTAAATAAAGCATGAGAAAACAAAATTCAAATTAATTTTAGTGAACATTTGGTGATTATACACTAGGTTCGTGTGCTCCTATACAGATTTTATTAACTCCGCTGTCATCACAGATTACCCAGCGGAGCTGTCGGTATGGGCGTCTTTCATGGCGTCGTCCGTACCGTGTCCCGCGTGAAGTTCTCCTTTAAACGACTTCTTCTTCAAAAGTACTTGACCAATTATATTCATATTCGTACTAAAGGTACTTGGGGTGGTCCTCTTTCAGATTTGTCAAATTCGTGTCAAAATATGGAAATTTGGATTTTTAGTATATATTTTTGTCATTTTCGGTAAAAAAAATATTTTCAACAACTAGTCCAAAACCGTAAGTCCAATTGCTTCCTTATTTGCAGCAAGGACACGTGGGTTGGTCCTCCGTGAAATTTGTCTCAAAGTATGCAAATTTGGATTTTTAGTGAATATTTTTGTCATTTTTGGTAAAAAATGTTATTTTCGGCAACTAACCCGAAACCGTAAGTCCAAATGCTTTGATATTTACAGCAATGGTACTTGGGGTGTTCCTCTCTCAGATTTGTTAAATTTTGTCAAAATAAGCAAAAATGTTACTTTCGACAATTAGTCCGAAACCGTCAACCACAGTGCGACTTTACTGATTTTTGTTCCATGATAATGATGACAGCGGATCTATTTCGACCGTCGACTTGTGTGGAGTGAAAATAGAAAAAAAAAGACTTACAATCTTCAGTGAGGCAACATACATCCCCTTCATTGCAAAGTAGTGAGTAAATGGCAACTCTGCCAATAGTGTTCCCTGTATCGCATCTGGCTTGACATATTCCTCCCACTTCATTACAGTTTTCTCCAGTGTTTCGTCGCCTCAGCACGGAATCTATTTGATTACACATAGATATATACATGTATCAATTGCAATGTGAAGTGCAAGTAGTACATTTAAAAATTCGTGTGTGTGAAACTTAAGATTTGTCAAACTCTAATAAGAATTTCGTTCAATTTCCAATCACATACAACGTCCTCTGGAAATATATTACGAACATGGTTTTCATGATTTTATTCAGCGAATTCGAAATGACGAATTTGAAATATTTTATCATTCACAGCATTGTCGAACAAACAATACGCGACGAAAACCAAGTAATGCGACGGTGCCGTTTTTTTATTATTATTTTTATTTTTATTTTTAACTGATAGTAATAACGAAATAACAGTTTATTTAGAAGATATTGCCAAACAGGGGAATTGTTTCCTATTATTTTTAGCCGAGACTAATTTTCAGTGGAACCAGCCTCAAAAAGATTCAAATATACAAATGTATATGAACTGAACGATAACATTAAAATAACCATGGAAATTCTATTAATAACACATACAAACTGAATTGGGCAACTTGTTAAATATATAACGATAATATTTCTGACAATTTCAAAAACCTACAACGGCCTTAACTGCAAGTGCGCGACCATCACCGCCTAAACTAACGTGAGCTTGCATAAGATTCGTAAGCGTAATACCAAAAAATCATAATTTATGTGTCATTTTGATAGTGCGAGCTGGTCTCGTGATAACAAGCCCATCGCCTAATACCATTAGGCTGGTTGTTGACACTCTTGAAAGTAATGGGCAGTATTATACACTCACAGCAGGCGTATTGTTAATACTAGCCCACGGCGTTACTCGGATACACTCGTTTTACAAATAAGTGATATCAGATGATATCTCAATGGTATGGATGTGTTACTGCCTTTACCTCTCATAATCAAGGATTACTCACTAAATTAAGATCATTGATTTTTTCAAGTATATATGTACAATGTTACATGTGTATCAATATAATATATATAAAATAAATGGCTTACCGTGTACGTTGAGTTCATATTTGCGGTCCTTGTGTAAGCAAAATGAATGGCAGAACACGAATTAAACACAAAAAAGTATGTTAACCATTGGAACGCTGAAATATAATTTTATAATTTTTCCCTAATTAAAATAAAATAACATAATTGTTTACAGTTTTTATTTTTACTGAAATGTTGACCAAGACTATGGTCAGTAATAAATGTATTTATTTTGTCTGAATGTTACGAAGCAAAAAGCATATTTCAGTGTTAATAACGTTTCTGGAGGGAAATGGATGACAATGGATGACATGTGCTACGAAAGTTGTATTAATATTATTGAATCAATATCACAAATAAAGGAAATAAACTTGCCTCCTTTTCTGCAGCGACGCTATATGCTGCCACCACAGTCAATAATATTAATTTTATCCACATTGTCAATATCTGTAAGATAAATTGTACATTATTGTTACTATTATGGTTGGTGATAGACGATCGACATAGCACAATTGTTGGAAATAACTTTTCAAATGATTTTCAAACTACCCAATGCGTACGAATGACACCGGAAAAAACAGAATAGTGTATGTACCATTGAATAAATGTACCGAGAGGTGATCATTAATTGAAAATAAATAATAGGTAATACGTGACGGTGTCGTATGAGAATTTCCACATTAATAAATATATATCAAGAATTGTCTTTATGTGTTTGTTCGGGGCCAGAAAACAAACCGAATGTTTCGTTGCCATTCAAAATACAACCTAAATATTAGACGAATAACCGTTCAGGATATAGCAAATATAAGCAAAATGCGATATCCATACTTACCGATTGACAGTCAGACAATGCATCTAGTATTGTTTTTTATCTGTTTATATAGTGCTCCATAAACACAAACGAAAAATGTAATAAATTAAACGTAACATGTTGTGAGAGAGAGAAGTCGTTTGTATTAAACTATCTGAGCTGATGCAACATGTCTATAAATAGATAGCACTTCGTCACAGACTGTCCGACAAATAAAAACAAATTTAAATGTTTCTAACCCAACTAATACTAAGGGAGAGGCCTCAGTATTCAATTGTTAGTTTTAATCGATACAGTGCTTACATATTAATTAAAAAGTATGACCAGCTTAAACACATTGATGTCAGAAACTACGAGTTTCTGGTCAGCAGTATTTCATACATTATGATTGAAATGCCTCTAAATCACATAAATGCCATAAATCCCGACAAATTGACCTACAAATGAGGTACCGAACCTATATTGGAATGTTACGTAAGGGTGTTTTTTTATGTTTTTTAGTTTTCTACTACAAGAGTTGTTAATGAACTCATATCATTCCATGTGAATTAGCGATTCCATCGTTTCATTTGGACCCACAAATGCATATATATACATGCAACACGTACTCTGGAATACAACTAAGATTATGTTACATGAAACAACAACGAATAAAAGTCATTGTTAATGATATCGTGACCCGCATATCCAATGAGATATCTTGAAGTTCATTTTGAATAGTCAAAATCAACTATATAATAGTAACTAAAAGTGGAATGTTACTTTAATAATCCTTCGTTTTACAATGACACGGTACGTACGATTAATGACCCATACGCAAACCCAGGGGCAACAGATGTAGCCGAAACAAAACATAAATGAACAATAGGTCCGTATATCACTTGCTGTTTGTAGACATACTTGTTCCCTAACTCATGTGGCGCCTGGCATTAATTGCACATACACCGTCGCAGATGTTACCCACACAGATTCCTCATGTAAACCACACTTTAAATCTATGTTCTTGTTGACATTTCATAAATGGTCTTTTTGATTTATTAAATTGCTGGCTCCACGTATTTTGTGATATAAGGGCACAGAATGGAAACAAACAATAACATTTTGGACTTTGAAGACTGTGTCTTGATTGAGAACAAAACAATGCATCAGTTCTTCAGGAAATGTTAATCTATTTTTAACTTCATACATGGACAGTATAAAAAGAATATTTTTGTTCGATTTTACGTCTGATCTTTGAATTTTCATTGCTCAAAATATACTAACTATGCTATTTTCTAACTAAATTCAAAGTTCTACTTTTAAATGGGCTTCATTTTCAAAAAAAATACAAATTGATATACTACATTGGTGTTAAAAATGCTTGTTGCTTATCCGAGGACTAGAAGATACAGAAGTTAATGTGTTTGCAATTAGGAACAAGTTTAAAGTACTAGTATTTTCATGAGCTAGTATGAAGATATAACAAAAACTATGCTACTTCAATTCTACGGCTATGGTATCTGAGTTGAAATATGATATTTACGATGTCGGGTTAATTGGTGGGAGGTTTTTCTTGTGTCACATTAGTGTTTTATTTGGCCAACGCATGCGTCGATTTGCAGAAGAATGATTTAGAAATACAAATAAAACGAAGCACTGACAATGCTAAGTCATCGTTACTTCATGTAAAAATGAAACGGAGTTTTTTTTTCACTCTAAATCATGTGATAACGTTTGTACGACGCATTGACGTCAGTTCGTACGTGTTTTTAACCAGACTTGGACATATTTCATATTTTGTTTCAAGACCAAAACATTGTCAGCTAGCGAAATGCTACTGGATTATAACTACAAAAATATGCTCATGTGGCTCAATTTACAAAGAATTCTAGACGTCACGCTCCTTCAATGTATTTCCTGTCCGCTAGACTGAGTCGGGGTACGGTAGGGTTCTAAATGTTATGCCTAGACTGAACTAGGGATGCAAATTTTATACAATTTACTGTACGAGCGTGGGGTAGGTACAAATTATTTAAAAATGTCTCATTCAGATCTTCGTCACAAATGTTTCCCAATCACAATAATTTTTAAAGACAAACTTAAACATAATATTTATTTAATTAAATTATTTTATTTAGTTACGTTTGTAAAGATATGTAAATCAATAATTCAGAAAAAATACATTCAATAGTGCAGGCATGCAGCGCTGCCACTATGAAGCGTAGTAACACAGCGCAATATCTGACGCTACACCAAAGCGTTACTTTGATAGCATTTTAAAATAATTCCAAACATTTTTATATATTCAGTAAGCGTTTACTTTGGTGTTTACTAAAATTAAAAGAAATCATACAACACGAGGCAGGAAATTGGTTCGATTGTGTTTGATATGATCCGTAACGTAAATTAACTACGGACACCCATCTTCGCAAAGACATTGTAATCGACACAGATTACATCATTGTTCGTGATCACTTTTCGATTGCCGGGATCAACAATAACAAATCACAATACACTATTTGTTTATTGTGACGTCATTTAATTATAACAATCTGTATCAACAGTATGTGTGTGTATTATTGAACGCATTAGCGGGGCGTCATGTTATTGGTGTGTTAAATATAAGGTAGCTGCATTAGTGGATTTGTAATGAGTCCTAAAATTTCTAACTGAAATGCTTAAAAACGTCACTTGAAAACAATGATTTTCACCAAGTAAAAGGAGATCATTTTATTCTATTTCTTGACTGAGTTATAACTTACCAGCTTCTTGCCTCGTGTGCGATGCAGAATTATTGGCTGCGAGTATTAGTCACGCGTTCATTACACCCTACTTCGTGGCTTATTTTGGGGGACAGTTAGAGGTGCGCAGTGAGATACGTGCCTGCCTACAACGGTAAAGCATGTTGTCGTCGTTAGTTCGAATTCAACATATGTTCTCAGTTTACTTTGTTTCGATCCAGATGGCGCTTAACATGTACGTTTGCCTGAGGGCAATTTCAACTAGATAGGGTATACCGACCCCGAATGTTCTGTTGATGTATGTCGTTGATGTCAAAGATCAAGCCTGTGCGAATTCGTCTAGTCGCTGGGGGCGGGGGCGTTCATGACATGAATCCCAGAGCCCACACAAGCTGACTGCTAACTGCGCAAAAAATAATAAACACGATATCGTTCTATCGCATGGTGACAATATAAACCATCTGTGACGTTTGCTGCTTCCTTCCTAGGTCTTGTTTAGCTCAGTTTTTACTTACAGGATACTGCCTTCGTACGAGGACACTTCCGGGACATAGCATCCTACTCGAGTTAAAATATTTAGACAGATATTCGAATATAAAACCCAGTACCAAAAAAAGATATTTTTGGCCATTTCTCATACATAGGTTTGAAGACATTTAGTGAGCTGTCTTTTGATGCTATATGGTGGTCTTCGCAAAATGTATGAGAAGAGCATAAAAACGTCAATGTATGCACAATGTATGGGAACTACATGTAATATATTTGACTTGAAAAAAAATACTCGAATTTGACGACGTTTTAAAACTCAAAAATGAAACGTTTTGATTATTCAGGAAAAATGGGCTTTTTACCTTCTGGAAGAAGTAGTAAACACGTAGGAGTGTTTGGTACTCAATGTTATACAGATTCAATCTTCGTTAACTGTGAATTATAATTCATCAGAATTATGAATATCTTCTTCAATGTGTCAAGAACAACGTCCTCCCACATACCCATCCCACACAGCAGAGTAGAATCTATGGACAAACCCCATATATTTTAGCTTACATGATATGTTTTTTCCGATGTGTTCTGCGTCTCAATTGGATGAACAATTTGTTATCTCCACCATAACGTTGAAGAAATAGATACAGATCATTTCAAGGGATAATTTCGTTCATACTGTTAATACTTGATACGAATTTTCAAACATGCAGTTATTTTTTTACAAATCACATATAGTATGTATATATATACTTAAAATATGTCCACGCCTTTTTCAATACATGGGTTATTATGGGGATATCAGAGCTGTTCTTCGGACCGAGGAAGCTTATCTCTACTTGTTGAATTGTTGATTAATGTCTTCGTCACCAAATTGGATTTCGATATGGATTGATGATGTAAATTGCTTTGTAATAGAAATTACGATATTTCTGTCTCACATCTAGCAAATTAGTTATTTCTTAATTGTATGAATATAACAATGGTGTATTGCCAACACTATATTAGTAGTTTCTTTTAAACAATAACATCCCCTCCTACAGCGACATATGGGACGACGAGAAGGGTCTATAGCAAGATATAAAACAAAGAATTTTAATTTGTAGTTTTGTTTGCGTATCATAGTGCCTTCAAAAAGCCTCTAATTCTGGTAAAGGCGAATTCAATTAACTCTTAGTGCCAGCGTTTGGAAAATTATCAGTTATAAAATTATACACACGTACAAAACATGAATAAGACAAAAAAATATGAACAAAATATTGTCCCAGTAACTATGCAGAACATTGAACATAGATTCAATCGAATGGCTAATAGTAATCTGGAATGTTATATCTCAGAATATAATATAATGGGTTAAAGATACACACTCAATTTCCATTGGTACCACTGTTTGGGGTTCAAGTAAAAGTTCAAGTGGAGTTCACTTCATAAAGTCAATAAGTTCGACTAAGTGGTTTGTAAAATAAAATTAGCAAATGAAAAGAGTCCAACAGTACTGGTATTTACTGGGATCTGTAACTTGACTCCCGGATCGCCTTTGAAAGAAACAGTAATCTGAAAAGAATTTGTTCAAATTGACAGACTTTCTCATGTTTCACAGATATAATCTTATATGCAATCTGCACGCATTTAATCGACAATGTGTGATATTCAAACAAAAATAATAGTACATTAACGATCGCGCATTTTGCTAATAGTTATTGCGATCACGCAGCGACAAGAGGTAAGAACATATTTTCATTTATTCCGAACACTGGAAGTACTTTTTCATCTTTGGTTTTTTTCTTTTCAAAATCTCTTAGTTGTCGCTGGAAGAACAATTACGTTGTATTCATGTGAGCATATACAAAATATACGTACATTTATGTTTTAGATGTTTAGCGCATTTTTATATTGCTACTTAAATTGCATTTTTGCGAAAATGATAAATGTTGAGATGGCGATTTTAATGTTTCCGATTATTGAATTCCGGGAGTAGGGATAGAAATTCACAAATATGACCGTGGATTTTAAAATATTTTATAGCTCTATTCAGGCTGTAAAATTACATTCAACGCAATCATGCTTATCTCATTAGTGGAAATGTACATGCAAATATAAATGATTTTCTAACACTAATCATTTTTTTAATTGACTTTTTCATTGCGAGAATAGTCCATAATGAAGTTCGCCATTTTAATATGGGTCACACTAGCCGCCTATGTATCAAGTCAAAAGGTAATACATCTTTACTGAAATTTCTTTGAATATATGAAGCTACATTACAAAGGTGTGTGTCGTGATAAATATATGTAGCAGTATTTTTTTTATTGTTAAAGAAAACTCAAATAATAACTACATGTGTCTGCACCCTAATAATTCTTTACATTTCATAACTTGTTTCTGCTTGCATATAAAATCTACGATTCGATATAGCGAACATAAATATGACTTGTTCAAATTACGTCACTAATTATTACACCCTGTTCGATTCGGACAAAACAAAATGACTGACTAGAAATTTAAGACAAAACATGTTTCTGACATGGAATGACAACCATGCTTTATTGTACTTAGGTCTATGTCCATTTTTAGGATACGACTACAATAAAGACCATTACATTATAACTGTTGTTACAAGTAATGTTTGTGTAAAGTTCAGACAATACATATTCTTGGTATATTTATCAAATCACTGAAAGTCCTAGTAAAGTATCCGTTGGGGTTGAACATGTCTTTGTTATCTGCACACGTAATCTTGTCAAACGATGTATAAAGTTGACTAGTTGGCAGGCGCAGATAATTGAGTTATAAACACGAGCATTACAAATATTCTCAAGTGCTCTACTTGAAACAGACGTACATACCGTGCAAAATATAAACTAGCTGTGTGAGAATTAAACACAATTCTAAAACTGTTATCTAAAATTATTATTTTTAAATGTGTCGTATATTCATTTCAGTTGAATGGAAGATCTGCACGAGGTAAGTAATGAGCTTGATAGGTATCGATAAAACGTATCGGAATGAATTCCTATCTAAAAACCGGAAACGCGATACCATATACTTTGCAACAGCTGTCGCATGCCCGAGGTCAAGTGCATTGCCGTGGAATAAGCAGAAATGTACACATACTTTAATATCAACTCTAAATATTAGTTATGTTTGATTTTAGCTTTGCATGTGTAAGCACTTATTGGGACCAGCTGTGTCCCTCCATGATCGTGGTATGATGACGTCATGCTACACTCAAACGAAACTATAATATGCGATGCATACATGAAATAAACATGTGATCTACCGTAAAAAAACACTCAAATCCTTGATTATGTGGATTCCAACTCAACTTCCCCTGCAATAATATCTACAGCAGTGTGTGAATATTATTCTGTGACGTTAAATTGCAACAAGGTGTGTTAGTATGTCTCACATGCAGATAATCCAATAATTCTTGTTTTATTTTTTGTCAAGCTTTGGTACGCCGTACAGAATTACTTGGTAAGAACATCCATCAAAATATTTGTCGTTGAAAATTGTTAAGATAACTTTGTTGTATGTATTTTATGTATTGTATTCCTAATTGCTGGACGCCTAACTTGAATATGAGCAATACAATTCCGTTATAGTTCATTATTTATAGCTACTAGCTTATCCATACGTCGTCTTGAGCAAAACATTATTGAAATGTATGTTAAACCAATACGAGAGATCATATTACTATTGACGTGTCACGTGTTAAATATATTCTAGGCTCTGATTCTCACATTTTCGACCCTGCATAACATTTTAACATGTATATGCGCATATTTGAAAAGCATATCACCGTGGGTTAGACCATCACCAACATCTAACAGTTTTAATACCGATAACACTACCACTGTCTCGGTGTTGTAGCGGATACAATTCTCGATGATGTTTAATGATGATAGCAGATTGTATGACACCGACTATACTATAAGCTACATATAAGTTATTGTGTACGGGTACGCTGGTGCTGTGTCGGCCACTAATACAGTAATGACAGGAATATGTGCCGTACAAACAATTGATGAAACAAAAGTGTGGTGTCTTGTTTCAGTGCTTGAAAATAAATAAGATTATCCCATCTGTGACACTCTTAAATCAACTAAACCAGTGATGAATTAACAGATGGTATCGATTTGTTATTGGACACTATACAATGCGTTTGGTGACGTCGCGATTATTTTAAATTATACGTATGTGGCACATGCGATGTGTCAATCATTTTTTTGCGCTGGCATTTCAGATTAGGTTATTGACATTTTCCAGTTCTCTGCAAACTGTACAAAAAATAATCAGCGACATTGTATTTAGATACTCGATTTTTCTTCTTCCTCGTTCCTAAAATCTAACAACGTTTCCGTATTATTCTGATGCGCTGAAATATACAGACTGGTTCTAAATTAAAGTACCTAACTTTCTACATTTTATTGCTGTTGCTTTAAAAAAATATAGGTATAACAAGTAGCTATGTAGTAACTCGGATAGTAACTACGTAAAACATATTTCAGTTCATAAATTGATTCAAAAAGTATTTAATTTTGAATTGTGAATAGTTTAAATCAATCAACTTACAGTTTGCTGAGCTATGCATGGTGTTCCCTGTATATATCTGAATTCTTAGCCAGAGAACAAACATATCTTAGGTAGTTTCATCATGATTACGTAAGCAGCGATTTGATAGTGTACTTTTCCTCGTAAAAAGTAATACGAACATTATGCACCTGGCATTTTTTAGTTTATTTACACAGATTTATGTCGTCTATTTATCTAATTTATCACTACAGTACTAGACTATACATATGACAGACAGTTGATTTCGACTTTGAAAGACAATTAATTAAATAAACAAAAGAAAACATGAGCGATCCTATGTACTTGACTTCTTTTAATTTATAACAGCTGGTCCTTGCGACGAAGACGACATTATCTACAAGAATCATTGTTATCTATTTGTAACTGACAAGCAAACTCACGACACGGCGAAAGCAATGTGTGAAGAACATGGGTACGGCCTAGCTTCGATCTCGAGTGAAGATGAGAGGCAGTTCCTGAAGAATACCATTCAGGCTGATAGTAGTTTGAGTGGGAACGTATACTGGGTTGGTGCAACGCGTGTTGATGGAGTGTGGACGTGGGACTCGGGTGAAGAATTTGTCGACAGCTACTGGGGTGGCGGCCAACCTATAAGCACAAAACTTCGTGACTGTGCATATATTTACCCACAAAAATTCAAACTCTCCAATAGAAAACGATGCAATAAGTTCACAGCTAGATATATATGTGAGAGAGGTGAGTTGAAAAGATGGCTTCAGGGTTTTATTATCGTGTACTTTTTTCACCGATTACAACATAAAATTTGCCGTCTCGTTTTCTGCAAGTTGGAGTGTGAATGTGGGTGTGTGTGTGTGTGCACAGGATGTGTTTCTGCATTTTATAAACTACAAACGAGTCTACAGGCTGCTAGCGCAATCAGAAAGAATATAGCGCGCACCAATAAACCGCAAATTGTATTTTAGCTTATTATTATATGAGATCATTATTAGAAATAATTACAATGTTTGTCAATATTACGTGTATTTTCACTATGCAGTATGTGCACCATTCATACAACCATATACCGATACATTTTAACCCGACTAAAACAATTCGAGAGTTTGCAAAGAGACAAACCGGGACACCAATTATTTGTTCCAGGCGATGAGAATCGGGATCATTCAAACAATATTCCATTGCAAGTGAATTGCGAGCACATCTTAGTTTTTCAAAAAGACTGCTGTATCATAACTACAACAGTGCGACAATATACATATGCCAACTGAAGCGGTATTTACGGGATTCTTTGGAAAGGATCCATATAGTACATAGCCAGTAGTTGTATTTCCACCATGTGCAATTTGTGCCTGACTAACTAGCGTAGGTCTCCTTTCCGTTTACATACCTCCAACAGTAACAAATGTAAAACTTTACTGCATCTTCAAGTGTACCAATTCCACTTGCAGATCAAGGAGAACCTCCTAGCAAACTTGCCAGTGTTTCCCATATTGGATCCTGCGAAGGTGGTGAATTCAGGCATGGCGACCACTGCTACACAGTCAGTACTAGCAAAAGAAATCTGGACGGTGCTTACAGTACCTGTGAACAGATGGGTTATTATCTTGCTGGTGCTAATACCGTTGATGAACTCAACTTTGTTCGTGGTCTTGGCAGTGATGATGGCAACAACGATATATGGATCGGTGGGGTTTCCATGCCTGGGTACGGTGGTTTTGAATGGCTGTCAGGCGGTACATGGCTCAGAGAAAGTTGGGGTGATACCGGCTCTCCAAAGGTGAAACAGGCAGAGATGGCATGTTCTTCTATGCGTCGCAAAAAAGATTATTACCTTCGTAAGAACAAATGTTCCAAGAAGTACACTTATATTTGTGAGAGAAGTAAGTATACTGTCACATTTTTGTTAAACTAAGTTAATGATGCGTTTAGACACCATTATCAGTGTGAACGTCCTCCATAGACCCGCACAAAATATCTCAATAAAATCGTCTCACACATACACTGTTGCACCCTCTTATCGCCAGCCTGTTTGTCACATTATTGAAGCACCTTAAACCTACTAGTATACAAAAAGGGGTATTTGCCAAGAAGTATACGATAATTTCAGCATAATTGTACATTTATCAATTCTAATCTGAATACTGAGACATATACCCTTGCGAATTTTCCCCAATTCGCATTGTATGACGATATATTTTAGTATTACGAATCAGTTATCGATATATTAAAACAAATATTCTGTGATACAAAAGCTGATTACTCTACACGTCTGAGCACCGCTGTACATTCGGTCTTTGAATATAACTTGTTCTTAACTGATGCATAAAACCGATGTATTGCCTTAATAATGGTATCACTGAATATCCAATGGTGTAACGAGTAAACAGGGATAGACACATATATTTAGTAAAAATAATTATATTGCTAAAGACTAAGATCTAATTATTTTCAGTATACTATACTTTGTCGCAAGATGTTTCAGATACACGTGATTTGCTTATACCTGAAAACCACTTTTATTTGTATATGGTCATCGTTTATACCATTCCCGTGCTATTAAAACGTGATATTCGAAAATTCAAACCGACCGAATCAAAAACTATAACTACAAATACACTTCATACAAACATATATCATTCCACGCAAACAGTAATTAGTATATTTTCGACTTTAAAGAAATAAAGTAGTTTTCAAAACCATGTGATCTGTATAAACAGCTTGTCGTAAAATATCAATGTTCAAAAAAAAATACTAGGGCGTGTATGTTTCTCAAATGCGTATGTGTACAACTATCTATGTCATTAACAGGCATACCGTACAGGATGAGGGCGTGCGAGGGAGAGGACTTGAATCTACAATGCGAAGAAGGTGCAATCAACATCATTGAAGCCAACTTTGGAAGGACAGCGGGAAATAACGTGTGTCCAAGTAGTAATATTCAAAACCAAGATTGCTGGAATGAAGTTTCATTGGCGAAAGTACAAGAATTTTGCGAAGGGAAAACACAGTGCATCGTTCCCGCCACGACGGATGTCTTCGGTGAACCATGTGCGGGAACCGATAAGTATCTGGATGTAATTTACAGATGTAAGTATGACGTCACTCTCCTTCTTCTTTTGGTGATTTCAGGTTGGTACCCAACAAGAATTGCCTATTGTTAACAATTCACACCAGAATGAGAATAACTCTGATTCTCATAGATTGTGTTTATTTTATTCGTATAACAGGTGGGTCTGGAAAAGCGTCACCTGAGAGAAGAACCCCGATTGCGACAGGTACGATGTGCACCTAGAGGCTTAAATATAAAAAGATGTTACGTCATTGTAGCTAAAGTAATTTGTAATTGCTTGCAGATTGTTAAATTCATTGAAAGACAAATAGTAGATTTCTAATTATATGTGTTAAACTTACACGTGTTGTATAATTTATTCTTGTCTCTAGATGGCTGCAAATGTATTGCTTGGGGAGATCCACACTACTTAACCTGCGACGGGTTGAAACATGACTTCCAAGGGAACTGTACCTATACAACTTTCCTTGACCAACTACATCCTGATCCCTATTTTGAGGTGAAGGCCAAGAACTCGTTCGCCGAAAACCGTAAAAACCCAGTCTCCTTTCAAGAGAAGATCACTGTTCATGTGAAACACCCACTCTATACACGTTCTCATACATTCCAATTCTTCAGAAACAGGACAGTGAATGTAAGTCTTGTTCAGTTATGCTAAACAATTATGGAAATGATCCATTTCTATGCATTTTATATATATATATTGCATCATTCAACACAGGCTAACAAATTCGTGAACTCAAATGTCTTTTACAGACATATAGGTCCCGTGTTTTGGCTAATTTGGTAATTTGGCTTTAGCATCAACAATATTAACCTTTTAGAACCTGGTTATAGTACGTAGTTAACGTAGTCTGTCAGATGGAAAGTCTTCACATGCCACGAAAATGATATGGAATTTTTTATTGAAATATTTAAAAAATCATGAAATTGAGCAAAAAATGTGTGAATCTACTTAATTCAAACCACCCAATGAAATCGAAATTTGGTATGTGATAATGTATAAAAAAGAGAAAATGGGAATTATTATATGTAATGTTATCTACATAAATTCTCTCGTTTCATTCCAGATGGATGGATTACCAGTTACCCCTCCCATCAGTCCGGAAAACGATTTACTCCTTGATACCATAGGCATGGGGGTCATTCTCACAACAGGATACGGGTTCTGGATGACATACGATTTTGAACATCGCACTGAAATGCGAGCACCACCAGAGTATGCGAACATGATTGGGGGAATGTGCGGGAACTGTGACGGCAATCGACACAACGATTACGTCATGCCTGACGGCAGCCAAGCATCATCCGCTTACGAATTAGGGAACAGTTGGAAAGCTGGTACAAGGTTGGTGTAGCTGTTTTGTGTTATTAACACCATTAACACATCCCCACTAAACACTTATAGTCAAGTATACACAAGGACTCGTAGTAGGATTGGGGGAGTTATAGAATTTTTGTATGTTAAGTGTTTTCAATTATTCTTTTTACGGCGACTGGCTGTGAATTCTAAACTACCTTCCACTTGAGCTGTTGCAACATCTAGTCATTCGGTTCTACACCCCTAAATCATTACAGAACCTGAAACAATGATGATGACTTTTCTCAACAATTATGATGAATGTTTGCCCGAGCGTTAAGTGCACTCCAGCGTTACGCATTGCTTTTTCTGTTGTACCCCACCAGCTGCCCCGACGTTGTAGATGATCTGCCTGAATGCGATGCTGCTATCATGAGTTGGTACTCTCAGAGTGATCAGTGTGGAATGATAAAGGACCCCTTAGGCATCTTCGCTGACTGCATATCGGCGTTGGACCCTGCCTTGGTTACTGAGCACTTCGACACATGCATGTTTGACATGTGTTACCTTGGTGATGATGCAGATCTATGTGACAACATTGGTGCTTTATATGACGACTGCTTACTGAACGGGGTTGAAATTCCTACTTTCCGCACGTCTTCATTTTGTGGTAAGTCCCACTAGTGAACGGGTATAACGACATATTTTGTTAGAAATATAATATATTGAGTTCTCTGTCATATTGTTGCAATATATGCATATATTCGTGTCACTTAAGTAGTACATAATGCCCCTTTAGAAAGAACACATACTATGGGGACACAATCTTGAACTACCTGATTACCCCCAAGGTACAATAGAATATTACTTCACTAGAAACGTTTCCTCATTCTTCAGCTTTGGAATGTCCAAACAACAGTATATATAACCCGAGCATGCCTCCGTGTCAAAACAGCTGTGTTGATCCAACGGCAGCTTCGGCGTGCCTCGACCCCCTGGCCGAGGGTTGTGAATGCGAAGAAGGATTTGTCCGTAGTGGTCTCGAGTGCGTGCCTCTAGCTGACTGTGGATGTTTCGGTCTTGACGGTTCATATCATAAAGTAAGACTGCTGAAACGACTATTACTCATGATTAAGCTAGAATCAAAACTATCTCAAACTGATACCTATATCGATAGTTGTGATAAGAAGAATTTGTAATTCTTTCACCAGCACAATATTGACATAGCGCACGATTTAGTGGCGCTGTATATTTTCCGTTAACGCGAGTGATTTATAGTCAAACGTGCTTTTGGTTAGCATAATTACCATTATATTGTTTAAAAATATGTGAAACTGCGAGATACTATGTTAAAAGTAGCACAATACATCTTCTTGGCTGCAGTAACTTGTATCATTATCATATAAACAAATGGGTTTTACAATCAACAAAATGTATCAAAAGAAAGACGCTATTGCGTGAATAATGATGGTGTATTTGACACGTTATTTCGTACTTCAATAATATACGATCCAATATGATCTTCTGTGGGCTGTTGCTACTGTATCGCATATACGTAAAATTGTGCTGTATTATTGGTTTAAAAATCAATATACAATCTTATCATAACCCTACAGAAAGGTGACACGTGGGTATCAAGTGACTGCAGACAATTTTGCACGTGTACGGGTGACGGCGATTCAGAGTGTGAAGAGATACCATGTGATGAACACAGTATATGCGTTACAATTGGTGGCACACGCCAGTGTGAATGTGCTCCAGGATATATAGGGGACGGGGAGACCTGTGAACGTGAGTAAACATGATCGTATTTTGCTTCAACCATAGTTGCATGCGATGTTGTAAATGAACGAAATTTACACATGCCTCTATAATCAATTATCCAATGTCGAATCACTATTAGTCATTCAACGTAACTAACAACCTATTTTGTATATTGTTATGTGTATATATACAGAACAAGACAGTCCAGACACGGAACAGTGTCCAGCAGTAGGTAAGAATTATACCATGTTATTCAATTTCAGGCATGTATATTGTATGTATACGTAACAAATAACCAGGGGTGTATTTGGAAAATTACTGCGGGTTCTTAAACATCGGACAATGAGACTTAACATGACTATATTAAACACATAAATATAATATATCGCGCATTGATATTTACATGTGTATTATTATATTAGGAGAAACTACAGCGTGTTCGAGTGTTGATGGTCAATGTAAAGGCATATGTGGACCAGACGAAACTCTTGCTCTGAATACCTTGCTCTGCCCCGAAGGTTGTTATTGCTGTCACCAGCGCACTGGTAAGTCTTCCAATAATAAGAAAAATGTATAACAAATATCAACTGAAAAAAACTAATGATTCACTGGTTCACTTGTTTCATAATAGATCTATGTAATGATAATTTTGGTGCGTTCTGTGCGAGCGAATGTGATGACAGCATGGTTGCCATTGACGACCCTGTTCTGTGCGAAGGATGGCCATCGCACGAAAATCGAAAGTGCTGCAAACCAAAACGTAAGTATATAATAATGTGATAAATCACTACGCCTGTATTTATGCTAATGTTTTACTCGATTGAGTGAACGTATGGTAGGATGAATAAGTAGCTGTAATTATTGTCTACACTGATAACCACATATACAATCGTGCTACAACGCTTTTCATGCGTTATATATATAAACTCGAATAATCGCAGTATGCGTTATTGTAATTATTTCATTCAATCTTGTGGATAAATTGCGTTAATGACACGCAGTTTAAGTTATTTATTTTCCCGCAAATACACAAGTTACATTATGGTATCCTTTGTTTCACCTTTGCAGGAATCCCTGGAATCGGATGTAAGTGTTATGTTTTTTTGTTTGCAAAGATAACCACATAGGTTGATTATCGACGTTTATGAACATCACTACGAATTCATATCACAATCAATGCATTAGCTTGGGAAAACATTTAGTTCGTAATATATGCACTTTTTGTTTTTGTTTTTCAACAGTCTACAATCCTTTACCCATTGATGAAAATGGCGGTGAGTTACTCGTATTTGTTTTCTATTTTTACTTTTGTTTACGAATATTTGTGTTTTTTCTATATTGTATTGTATATTGTGTTCATATTATGTATTTGTTTTACATTACAGTGGCTATTCTACCTCCACTTTTACCGGAAGGTAAGGCAAACATGCTCCATGTAATAAGATCTTGCTACTTCTTATTACTATATCTAGCATTTCAATTGAATGTTACATATGTACAATGACAAACACAAAATCAATAGTTAAAGAGGTGGAGTCATCACCTGCGCATGCGTCAGATGGCCATAGCGTGTCATTGTTTACAAACAAGCGTCTACCCACGAGCCTTTGCATTTTTAGTGTGACTTGTTATCATCGCTTGGGACTAAATTTTTGTTTTCTCAACTTATTTTGTGATTTCAAACTAGCTGATCTAAAGTCTGATTGAAATTTTGAATAATAGTCTTGTGAAATTAACGCGATGCACAGTATTCCTGTCTAGCGAATCCGATTCTTACATTCTAACCAATCAGAAAGCAGACAATTTGATGGGCTATGAACAGTCGACAGCATATGGTTTGTATACCTGTACCTTCTGCTAAGTTTGTCACAATGAATAACAAAACACATCTCTCCCTATGTCGGATAGTTTCAAGATAAATGCTTCTAAGATGAAATCAGTTTTATAAAGAATGAACAATTATTGTCTTGAGCACTACCCATTATATAATGCTGCATACAACCACTATCGACTAAAAGGGGATTAGGGAACCCAGACTCTAGGAAGTGTTGTCGGATTAACTGTAACATCCCATTTTACATAAAGACGTCTCTAAAATTGAAAGAGACAGTTTTAAGCTGGGGTCAACCATTTGAAATCATGGTGGACGCCTAGATCAACTCGATGACGTCACCTATGGCTTTATTATTGCTTATTATATTTCAGACATGCCATCGCCTGGAGCTGGTGTCGGATATGGTACGTATTACTTTTCATTTCTATAAATAATATTCCATATATTAGTACTGACATGTATCCGCATATTCATACAAAAGAATACAAGTGGTATGCGCATTGTGTATTTATAATACCCCTTTTGCGAAACTATATATTCTGGCTGTATTACTAATAACAGTATTTAATGATTTATGCAGGGCCTCCAGGTGAAGGAACGTGGCGTGGTGAGTACCTCAAGCAGTCATGTGTTTCTCTTTTAATCAATAGACAGATATTATAGTATTCATGTATTCATTAACACCATATGACAATTGCCTTTTTTTCAGACAACTTTGCATTCTCTGGTGAGATTATCGCAGGTATGGGCAGTTTGATTATTAGTTATTTTGTCTCATTAATAGTTGTAATATCTTGCGCTGCTAATTATTAAAATATTATTGGTCAATCGGTTTCACGTGCCGCCCACGTATTATACAATAACTGGGAAGTGTTTAAGGTCAATTTACTAAATGTGTGATTTATTTTATTGTAGGAATCATCATTCCAGAGTTTTCGTTAGGTGGTGAGTTTCACATTTTAATATATAAAAATATATTTATACATTTCTTGTGACAAAGCGTGAAACCTGATATATGTAATGCATATATAATGTAGCATATTAATAAAAATGGTTCAGTAGTATTGAAACAACGTGAATGTGTATGTAGTATTAACAGTCGGTTCTCTTATCATTTTCAGGCAAAGGCGGCGGTAAGTATAACAAATTTTGTTTTTTTTTGAAGCAGAACATATTTGGTGATGCGATCCCGGTCGTGCCATGTTGCATATTATTGTTCAACCCTATTTCCACATTTGAATGTTAAATTACAGGACCCGGTGAACAGGGAGACCCGCTTGTAACTACTGGGGATGGTTTCAGATACAAACTTCTTGGCAAGCCCTGTGAGTATATTATGTTCCAGGAGGACTCCGCAACTCCGAGTTTCAGAGTAATAACCAATCATGTCGGTGGGACAGTGTTCGGAGAGGAGGCAAGTTTTGTCGGGTCGGTGAAAGTGGAGTATAACGGCCAGGTTGTAGAACTCTTGGAAGGTAATGTTATTAAGGTTAGTGCCATACATGTGTCTGAACGTAATAAATTTTGTGGTTGAGCTAAAACGTGGTATTAATAGTCGCACAAAACGCGGGAGTGATATAAACAAGCAGATGACGTATGTCAGTGGACGTAAGACGGCGTGACGTCAGAATGTTGAGGCTATGACGTGTTAAAGTCTTGTTTGTATTAATGGGAATAATAATATGAATGTAAAAAAAAAAGAAAGAAATCTAGTTGTATGTATGAAGTCTGACTATTGAGTCTAGGTAATTTGAGTGGTTTTAATTTTATCTTTCATCTTATTCACAGTAAATTCTTTGTCTTCACTAACTACAGGTCGACGCGGTTGACGTCACAGCCGATCTCACAGTAGATTATGCATCTTTTGATGGGATCAGTCTGCGCTGGAACAACCACGTACAGAAATTCGTGACCGTTGACATTGGACCTGGACTCTTTGAGATTGTGTGGAATGGTTACAAAGGTCACGTGCTCGTCCACCCGAGTGCTGACTTTTCCAAACAAGTAACTGGTCTGCTTGGTAATTTTAATGAGGACCAGTTGGATGATTTACAATACAAAGACAATGGAGTCTGGAAGACCTTGACATTAGACGCTTCCAGCGAAGACATGGCGGCGTTTGCAAGCGGCTGGCTTCTGGATCCTAACAGGTTGGTCTACAGTACTCTAATTAACCTAGCGAGATGTTTCTCTGTCTAATATCGATTGAAATGTATTTATACATAAAAGCAGTAAACACGAGTTTACGAAATCGCCTAGTATTCAGCTATTTAACAATCGCAATACGGAGACAGACCGCGCGCGGATGAGCATACAACAGTTACATAACATTCACTATAAACAATATTCCTAGATGTACAATTCAACATTGTGGTAGTTTCCACGTGCGTGAAGTATGTGTACTTGATTCTACGTGCATTATTATGTATGTTGTTTGTTATAAGCCTGGTATTTTTTTTCTTCAACAGCTGTTCTTAAATCAGCAGTGAACCAGAGAATAAGATGTAAATATTTGAAACCAATACCTGAAATCCAAAACACGTCATAGTTCATATGTGTATGATATATCGTAGTCGATGAGAAGGTGGTGGGAGTGATTTTTTTTTTCAATCATATCGGATAAACATTCAGATCAATAAAATATAAATTATTGCATTTGTGCATTTTGTTTTTGTCTCGAACGTAGCCCTCTAGAAGCAGTTCAATAACATTACGAGCGACACATATGTAAAAATGTACATTTGTCGAAGTGGAAACAAATATTATGCTTACAGTTTAAATTATAGTATTGTACATTGAATTCGAGTTTTAATTAACAAATGTAATCACATGGTCGTATGTTTTGGCGATGTACACATACAAAAATACATGAATTTATTGGGTTATCTTCCAGGTTGTAATCTGCGGTTAGAATCAAAATAACTGATTATATTCTCGCTGGAATGATTCGAAGCGAACTGTACGTGCAAACATTTTGATATATAGCGAATGGCTGTTAAACAAATATGAAAATATGTTATAGTACTGCATCCGGCAAATGTGACGGTGGCGGCGCTGTTCAAATAAAGGTTTCAATAAATGCATTGATGTGCGAACAATAGCAGCAGCTGGCGTCATTGACGCAGGTGTGGATATGATATAAAATACTATTATTTAAAGCGATGCGTTCAGCGTATAAGCGTCAGATGAGTAATTCG